TGCCCTTGTGTCCCCAGCACCAGCCGCCCCTGCTTAGCACGGATTTTTTTAGAATACGTCGCGAGGTACCCTTTTTATACATGTGATAAATTTTTAACCGTCCTTTTCTAATTTAGAAAATACGTTAGTATGATAATATTATACGTCTATATAATAACAATAAATCAATGTTTTTTCGTATCTGGCCCAGAAGCATTTCTGTAGTAATTATATCATACTAACGTATTTTCCACGATACTTTCCAATCTCAAAGTGAAACAATCTATCAGCAATGCATATAAAAGAACACAATGAATATATCATAAGTAAACAACGCTACTAAATTATTTTTTGGTGAGTAATTACTACTTAATACCAAATTATTTCTTCGTTAAGATGTAGTAGCAGAAAGAAATGCGCCTGTAATGGGTGAATCAAATGGTATTTTGTACACAAAATTTTTAGTATAAACTTAGATAATTAGATACACAACAACTAAACAAATAAAAACGTGTCCCATTTACATACCACTTTCAATTAAAAAAAAACTCATTTTCAGAAATTTAATAGCTTTTTAATTAATGGCTTAGGCTTCTTAATGCAAGTCCTATCAACGGTCAATAACTTTTTCTACGACCAATTCACGGTTTATAAATGCTGGTATGCCAAAAAATCGCTAAATTTATGAAAGATGTGATCTTATTTTGACGGAATTATGACAGTTTCCACATACCATTTTTGGCACAAAATCAATAAAAATTCCCACTTTAATTTCTACAACGATGTATGGAAACAGTCCAAAAGCTTTTGCCTGCAATTATGTATTAATAAAGTTGCGTTTTTACAATGCCATAATTTTTTTATTATGATTTCCTTTTGTGTTATTTAGCCTGTTGTTTAAAGTATAAAAAACTGTAGTGAAGGCTCGAATGTGCTCACTGACAGAATAATTAATAGATGTAAGTGTTTATTTAAATATTTAGATACTTTAATGTTTTGTTTTAATAAAAAATTATCAAGAAGCGTAACAACGCTACCCACTGATGTTTACATTTTATGGTTTTTACTTTATAGCTGGCAAAATTGATTTCACGGTAATGATTTATCGGCACCACATTACATTAATAAATATGTTTTTAATAAATGACTCACTCGACAAATTTTTGTTTGCTTTACCGTCAGCAACGCAAGAGCTTTTGGGACATAACTAAAAAATTTGGCCAAGCTTTCGTTTGCTTACTGCTGTATTATAGTTAAGTTATTGTCACAAATTAATAGCGATTAACTTTTCACACTGAATTTTACAGATGTAAGAAATTTATTTTTTAATAATATTTGATAACGTTTTACAAGGGGGTTAATTTTTCATTTCCTAGTACTGATGAACAGCAAACGGTTAACTAATTTTCTGAGAAACAATAATACCTAGAATTTATGGTTGGATTGTTTTACCTGTAGCAGCTGTAAATAATTATTAGGATTATAGTAGCTGACTTTAGATTACCCAGTAAAACTTTCAGTCCCATTAACGGATAATAGACGACAATTGTACTAATAGGGATGGAAAATTTTACTACGTACAGGTCAATTAAGGACCATAATATTTATGATTCGAAGGGACTTCTAAATAAATCCAACATTTTCTTCAACATTTCTAATTTAATTGTAGAAAAAATATCTTTAGACCCAGTTTACAGAAGCTCTGCAAAATATTTGAATGCAATTAAATATTTAATATGGCGTTAAAATACCACCGACTCTACCCCAGTCAGACGTCGCTAAACACCTCCTTAAATTAAATAATTAAATTAAATTAACTTATTCTCAGTTCAAAAGCACCTTAAGGTGAGGTTGAAAGGAGTTGAAAGCACGCAGTTTTTTTTATACCTGTGATAAATTTTTAACCATCCTCTTCTAAATTTATACGTCTATATTAGCAATTGTGGACTGTTTTTAATCCAGCACGTCATAATAAATCAGGTATAGTTACTTTCAATTTTTTTTTGAAGCTACAATTCCAATAAAAAAGTGGCTTTTTGAAATGTTGCAGACACCACTGATATTTTAGCCTTGATTGAGAACTAATTGTGTGTACATATTATTAGCTGCAAAACAAGATTCTAAATAACTTTAATGTTATTTAAGCAGTCCTTTATTGAAGCAACGTATTGATTTAGGATGTAGTTTAGACGTTTATTTGTTCATTAAATCTAAACTTACTCCGTCATTCGTTAGCGTAATAATTCGCAAACTACGTGTTTGGTTGTACTTTATGTACACATACAATCGGTAAAGTTGACTCATTTTCAAGACACATTTGTGGCCTGAACGTGTTAAAACATTTTCAGTGCGCAATCAAAAAATAAAGAATACAAGAATTTGTTAAAATCAAGGTAAGAAAAGACCACAAAGGAACTATATGTTCTTAAACTCTAGTAAAAAAGAAACAATCGTTCAAATTGTACAATTTTTCGTTAATCTTCGTTGTCCTAAATTTGTCACTTTTCTAATTGTTAACTAAAATTGTGGTTTGTGTTTTGCTCAAAAAACCTGTTTTATTTATACTAAACAAACGCATATTTTTAATTAAAATAGCCCATTTAACATAAATTCACACTGCGTGTATAAATAATTTATGTTACCATCAAAGTAGACAGAGAAGTTTGCCGCCTTGACATTACATGTCAACACATCAATTTATGTCGTATATAGAACGTGTTACTTAAGAGAAGCGATGAAACTGAAAAGTTGTAAGAAAATTTCCACCGGTATAGGTTAATGTGATGAATCACATTATAAAACCTTGTACCTGTATTAATATGACATATACTGGAATCCTTTGGGTGGGCTTTTTATTTACATATTTCTTTTGTATGTTTCAACGTTCTTGTTTACCTCAACAAAGACATTTGCCGTTAAAAGATATGTGTTTTCTATGCCATTTATAATTTTTTCATTACACTTAAAATTTAAATGAAAGATAAGAGTTAGTTTATTCATGATCTATTAAAATTTGTTAAAAAGTTTACGTTGTAGTTAAAAATATATATATATACATACTTACACACTAAATTAAGTTTCTCCCTTGAAGCTAAAAATAATGTCGTTTACGAAATTTCAATATTTTTTTTGTCTGGGAAATCCTGTATATTGAAAACTGAACTTTTGAGTGTAGGTTTAAAAGTCTTTTGTCCTAATTATTAGATAAACCAGCTTTCTGCATGTACATTTTCACCTTCCGAGCTTAAGCTAATCGAGTTCATCGGACGAATTATGTTTGATCGACGTTTCATGACCCCAACGCTACAAAAAAAGTAGCAAAAGTATTCTCCCGTTTCCATCTGTCTGTCTGGCGTCTATATCCATTTCTATTAGACACGTAATCTCTGAAACTGCTAGACCGATTGTTCTCAAAATTTTGTATGTAAGTATATTAGAAATATTATGTAGATGGTAAAACACGAAATAAAATTCGGCTAATCATCCCTACCAACAATTTTATGAAGTCATTTGATACCCCGACCGGCGGTCCCGTGTTCGATGCCAAACTTGGTGTTTCGTTTTTTTCCCTTTTTTTCTCTCGCGCTAACAAATTTTTGATTGATCAAATTAAGACTGAGTCGCCCCATTTTCTCGAAAAGGTGAGAGTACGTCTTTATTTAATAACAATATTAATAATAATAATAATATTCAAAACATTCTGTTCGGCTGTGGCTTAATTAATAATAATTTTAGTCCTTGAGACCTCAAACTCATTCAAATCAAACCAATTTGCGCCCCCTTGGCGCAGGGCCTACGAGGATGTTATTTATGCCGCTGATTTTTACTTTATTGAAGTTATCACACAACAGACATCGCAAAATCTAAATAATTTGATGGACTTGTATTTCAGAAACGAGGGACGTTCTGACGAAATAAACTTTGACCTTTTTTTTAATAAGGTTAATTTTTGAAATTCATGTCTACTGACGGTTATTGAAAATTTTTTGTTCATTATAATGAAACTAAAACGAAACCACCGTCAGTAATAAATATTTCGTGCTAGCACGAGGAAATTTGTGTTTGTTTCGTAATTTTTAAATTTCAGTTTTTGGCAGTGTACTTTGACATGATAATACACTTGAAATAAACAAAAAAAAATTACATAACTAGCACACAAGCAATTATTAATGACTTTTGAAATTTAATAACTTACTGAGCTTTGATTTCGAGGTCGTCTTCACAAATTTGTCGACGGCATTTATTTCCAGTACCAATTTTTGCTTAATAAGCAAATTAATTAACGTTAAGTATAGGTATGTCATGAACTTTTTTAACACAATCATGTAAATATTTATTGTAGATTTAACAATAATCAAAATAAATTCATACTTATTGCATCAGCAATTATTTATTTAGGCTGTGCAACAATTGCATAAAAATTCCAAGCATTCCACTGAAAATTCATTTATATGTCGTGTATACCTGACGAAATGTGATTAACAAACCTCTTCTATAAATATTTTCATGAACCAAAGTACAATCAAAAGCAAAAAATGTCTATGTACATTGCTGTCAAACATGTAAGTCCAATTATGCCTCTACAATTACCTTATCAGAAATAGCGACCCGTCGTCACTCTCATAATTGAACAATTATGTTAAACAGTAAGTAGTCAGGACGCGTATTTTTATAAATAGCCAAACTACACATTCCTACTTAGTTCCTTCTATGCTATAATTATTCACAATTTTTTGTTCGCAAAAATTTCCATCGGCCAGCATGACCCAAGCTCCTAACACCAACACATCTCCAAATGCCTACTAACAGTACTTGACGTCAATGGTACGAAGAGTCCAAAGACTATGACGTAGATTCTTAAAAAAGTAACCATCCAAATGGAATTTTTTTTGTTTCCGAAGCACCCATCCACTGCGCTTCCATTGGTGGATCCATGCGTACCTTCCATCGATTCGCTAATATATAGACCATGTGATCCTGTAACCATGGACTTCCCCACCGCGATAAACTTGGCGGTCGTCATTAAGTCTTCAAATGATTCAAAAACAAAACACTCGTAAGGTGTTGGTGTGTGTGAACGTACTTAATATTGTTGAGTTAATTTTTGAAAGAAAAGTGTGAAGGTAAGAAAATTTATTAAGCTCATCTTTCTTTGTTGTGGATGCTTTCGTTTCTAAATAATATATGCAACATTAGACGTGTTATTAATTGGTGTGTGCAATCGCGTTAGGTTTTGACTGAAATAGTAGATGTGCTAATTTCCTTCATGGGTTGCAAAATAGTTCACCGCAGAAGAGTTTTTCGGCTGAAGAAGAAGCGAAAGAGTCGAGATTTGGCAATATTCGAACGGAAATACCTGGAAGTCGTTAATGGATTTTTAATATAACTAGTGTTAGTCAGCAAAATGTCAAAACACGAAATCTCGCACGCTGTCGACCATCGAATTTATGTAATTAACATACGACTTCTTACGTTACACCTATTCATGAAAATTGTTTACTCAAAAACTGCTAAACTATTTTATTTATGCTTGCGCAAACAATATAAATTGAGTAATCCACCACAATTGATGTAATGATTAAATTATGAAAATAGAGCTCGTTACGAAACAATTTGAAAATCCGACTCAAAATTGTTAAAATGCAGCATTTAAACTTGACATACACGAGACGAGAAACCATCGACAACCTTACCTTGAATTTGGAATCAATGGGACTTAATTATGCATAATTATTGACCCTGGTCTACATAATGATTCTGCAATTCCCGAAAATGTGCCGATTTTCCTAGATTACGTGTACAAAAAGAAGATCGATGTTATGTAAAAATTAATGTGACCTACTTGTTCGACTTGGTAGGTTATATTTAACAAGGATTGTTTTAATTTCGTAATAAATAATGTTCGTAGTAACGGTAGCGTGAAGATGAAATGACAAAGTTCAAAGTGCTGTGTATTTAGTGTTTGAAAAAAAAAGTGGAGGTATAAAAAATGTGTGCATATTTATTTAGTGTTGGTGACTTACGTGTATGTGTATGTGTATTTTTCTAACCTTGTCAATTTTTTACAAGTTTACCTATTTACGTTATCTGTTAGTGGAATCCATTACAAAGGCAATTAAGACAGTTCCTACTTACAGTTTATGTGCTTTTAATACACTGGCGTAGGTAGCATTCTTATCACGAATGTACGACTTCTAGCGAAATATAGCAAATTTTTGGGTAAGATTATGTCACCTGAATAAATTTAAATTCATAAAATGGATAAAGTTGGTCTGAAAGGACGTCTCACTTGCTTAGATCGTCACAGACGTGTAAAATTGCCTATATGTGTTTGAATGATCCGAGTTTTGTAACCTTTTGCCAAGTGCTTCGTTCTATACACAATAAAACAAAACAAAACCAGTTTCTGCTGCTAGTTGGCGTTTTGTTAATTTTTTATGATCAACATTCAGCCCTCGGCTTTATCCGTTGAGTCACTTTTGTATATTTTTTAAACGCTGGTTTTCCTGTTAAATCGAGTAGTAAATTCTATAAACAACGAGAATAACAATAATCCGACGGTTTTTCACAAGTCTTCCAGTCCTCCAGAAAAATGTACCACTAGCTGCAATATTGTATTTAAATTTTTAGTTTGCAAAATGTTAAAGTTAACAATTTAAAGTTAAAAAGAAATCTCTTTTATACATATCGCTTTGTAAACTTAAGATAAATATAAATACTATTTTTTTTCCTCTCGTCGGTGCCAATGATAACCAAATCATGAAAAACACCACTAATATACAAAACTCACTTGACATGCACCTTGTAAAACTTGTATGACTTAACCGCCAGAATTATTACTGTCCATTGTTGTCATAATGGAGCTCTAAAGTTTTACTAGGTATATGTGAACTGAGTTAAGTTTACAATAGCCAATTTAACTTGTAAGGATGCTTTGGCTTAAGCCGCTTAAGTCATAAAAGTTTTACAAGGTGTATGTCAAGTAAGTTTTGTATATTGTAATGTTAAAATTACACTGGACGAATTAATGTTTCTTGTGTTCAGATGATTTTTTGTTCTAATTGGATCAGCACTAAACGCTTTAGGGAAAGTCGAAAAAATAAATGTGAAATTTATAGAAAAAATATTAATTATTTCTAAAACCGATTCAAATCTATACAACTAAGTAATAAATGAAGTATAATTATATGTTGGAGCAATAATTCAAATACTTTACGTTACTTTAAAAAATAATAAATAAATTGCAGCTATTCACATGAACTACTTGCTACTATAAATAGAGACTAATTATTCGTCTGATCGGTTTTTGCTGACCTAACTTTTGAAACATAATTTTAATGATTAAGCGTTTTTCTGAAAATAAAGTTTTATTACTAAAGACTTTCCTTAAATACAGCAATTTGTGTAAGTATTTTTCCTTATTGACGTAAATTAGGGTAATTGTATATAAAAGTTGTCTCTTATATTCATCATATAACAATTATAATAATTTCTTTAAATGTTTATAGACACGGTTTTTACGTTTGTTTGTTATTATTTTTTTTTTTGGTAGAAATGTGGCTCCATTTATATTATTAGCTCAATAACATACCTAAAATTTCCTGGTACCATTAATATATAAACTGAAATATTTTCAATAATTCATATTAGGAGTCATTGTCCAAGGACGCCATGAACTCTTCTAATGATCCTACTTGTAATGACATTATTAATAATAAATTAATGGCGTCTTACTTACTTATGAACTCCAGTCAAACATAAATATTTCCACAAGTCTCTAAATTTGCCGTTTCGAAGCATTTTTGGTGTTTCGGTGGACACAAAATTTATAATAAAATAAGCGTACTTATTATTTTTTATGTCATATACTATTAATAATAATAACACAACACGAAAGTTTTGTGATCAAGACAATTTGTTTTTAAAAAAGATACTAAGTTGAACCCGGTTTAGTTTTTCTATTTGTATTTGCATATTTACGACTTAACAACTTTTGTCTCACCTTCAATTAACATTTATCGTGTAAATTTAGCATACAATCGGCTTGATTTTAAAAACAATTTTTCTTTTTTTGACAGAAACCCCATCATGCCTGAGGGTCCCAGTGACCTAGAGCTGCGCCGGAGGCAGTTCAAACCCCAAATGTCCACAGTACAAACTCGTCGTCAGCAAGCTGTTTGCGTTCGACGGGCTTACAAAAGATACGGTACCAAAACCAACCCTTTTGTCATTTTAGAGGGGTTGAATATGACCGTTCCGAAGGGTGCCATGTAAGTTTAAAAAATCTGGGTAACGGGACACCCACATATTAGATTTTGTTTTCTGCAGATATGGGTTACTAGGGGCTAGTGGTTGCGGGAAAACCACCCTTCTGAACTGCATCGTTGGGAGGAAGCGTCTGAATTCCGGGGAAATATGGGTGTTGGGGGGCAAACCGGGATCCAGGGGAAGTGGAGTGCCAGGACCACGAGTTGGGTACATGCCACAGGTAAATATTTTATTTATTAAAAAAGAAGGTGATTAAAAATTGATGCTTGCAAATGGTATGCGACTGGTAGGCGAGTGCGACACAAAATGCACAAAATAACGAAATTCAATGCCATGCTAGAAGCAGGTCAAACCTGTTAAAATGTGGTTTCGTTTTTTGGTAGGAAATACGCGAAAAAGAAAGCAATGTAAGTTTCTCAAGAATGAACGAAAAATTTGTGGTTTTTACTTCCTGAGTGTAAGCCATTAGATAACTGGCTACTTTTATGTTTTCTCGACGTTTCATGATCGTTATAGTACGAAAAAATAGGACTCCCGTTTCCGTCCGTCTGCCTGTCTGTCTGTCAGTGACGAAATTACTGGACCGATTGTTATCAAATTTTATCATCTCCAAAATGTACATTAGTAAATATTATTTCAGTTTTATAAAATAAGATAATCCTTCACTAGTGATTTATGAATCCGTGTTCAATTTCTATTCTAGATATCAAAATTTAACTTTGAAACTGCAAAACCGAATGTTCTGAAATCTTGCAAATGTGTTAAGGTTATCGTAATCATGGTAAATTGTTAATCAAAATTTATTAATTTATCCCGTTTCAAAAAACTGATGACGTGATCTCAAAATTTTGCAGAATAAATCCTCTCTGACATACGCAAAATATTATGCTTCCATAGTAGTGGTTTATCAATCCACTCATACTTTATTTTATTATTTATAAGGGTTCCCATAAAAAATAAAATTTGCAAAATCAAATCTTTGAATTTTTCGAAAAAATTTGATTTATTTCTTTGATATCACAAGTTTTCGTTTTTCCGTTTTATTTCGTTTTACAATTTTTTTATACTATAATTTTTTGTTTTTTGTTTTCATTTTAAAATTTTTCCATTTTTCAAATTTTCGTTTCAACAATTTTTCAGTTTTGCAATTTTTGATATTACCATTTTTCATTTTTCATTTTTCGATTTTTCAATTTTTCAAGTTCTCAATGTTTATTTTTTTATTTATTCGGGATTTTTCAGTTTTCGTTTTCTCGATTTTATATAACAGTTTTTCTTTTTTTCATTTCCTTTATTTTTTAAATGTTTCTTTCGAGTTTATAATTTTTTGTTTATTCAATTCTTCAAATTTTCCTGGATGTTCCAATTTTTAAATTTTTCAATTCTGAAATTTTAGGATTTCTCAATTATAGGATTTTCCGATTTCTTTAATTTATAATATTTCGTTGTTACAGTTCATATTTCGATTTTTCAATTTTTGGTTTCCTCAGTTTTTCAAGTTCATAATTTCCAATTTTTAGATTTTTCCAGGTTTTCATTTTATACTTTTTCGTTTTTTTATTTTCGATTTTTCAATTTTACAATTTTGTGATTTTTCTATTTTTTGATTCGAAAAGTTGAAAAATCGAATTATTAAAAATCGAAAAACTAAAAATCGGAAACAATTGAAAAATCCAAAAACTGGAAAAACGAAAAATTGCAAAATCGAAAAAGTGGAAAATGGAAAAATTGAAAATCAAAGAATCGAAAAATCGGACTAAAAGTCGAAAAAATTAAACGAAAAGGATTTAAAATCCAATTATTGAAAAAGGGAATAATTCTAAAATCGTAAAATTGAAAAAGAGAAACATTTTAAAAATTATGATAATTATATACATAATGCATATTTAAAAAAGGGAACTAGAAAAATTACAAAAAAATGATGAAACGAAAAACTGAAAAATACAAAAATTGAAAATTTTCACATTGAAAAAAAGAAAATTTATAAAATCAGAACATTGAAAAACTTAAAAATTAAAAAATCTAATAACTGAAAACTCGTGAAATTGTAAATCGAAAAACTGCAAAACCTAAAATTTGAATCACCCGAAAGTTGAAAAATTGGAAAATTGGAAAATTAAAAAATTAAAAATCGAAAAAGTAGAAAATCGAAAAATGAAAAATGGTAATATCGATGAACTGAAGAAACGAAAAATAGAAACATTGAAAAACTAAAAAACGAATAAAATTAATGAAATAAAAAGATTTAAAATCCAATAATTGAAAAATGGTATATGTAATACTAAAACCGTAAAATTGAAAAAGTGAAAAATTTTTAAAAATATGATAATTTTAATTTACATTTAAAATGAAAACTGGAAAAATTGCAAATAAAAATTCATGAAACGAAAAATTGAAAAATCCAAAAATTTGGAAATTTCGCAATGAAAAAAAGAAAAATTATGAAAATCAGTACATTGGAAAACCTAAAAATTAAAAAAATCTAAAAGTTGCAACTCGTGAAATTATAAGTCGAAAAATTGCAAAATCGAAAAATTTAAACAGCCGGAAGTTGGAAAATCGGAAAATTGGAAAATAGAAAAATTAAAAATCGAAAAGGTAAAAAATCGGAAAAAATTGAAAAATCGAAAAACTGAAAAAACGGAAAACTGCAAAATCGAAAAAGTGGAAAACCGAAAAATTGCAAATCGAAGAACTGAAGAAATGAAAAATCAAAATATTGGAAAACTAAAAATCGAAACACTAAAATATCTAAAAAAAATTAATGAATCGACAATCGAATAAATGAAAATGATTTAAAATCTAATAATTCAAAAATGGAATAATTATAAAACCGTCAAACTGAAAAAGTGATTTTTTTAATTATGGTAATTATAAGGTACATATTTAAGCTGGAAAAATTGCAAATAAAAATTAAAGAAACGAAAAACTGAAAAATCCAAAAATTCAAAAATTTCACAATCAACAAAGAAAAGTAATAAAATAAAAACATTGAAACACCTAAGAATTTAAAAATCTACAAATTCAAAACTCGTGAAATTGTAAAAATTATAAAATCTAAAAATTGAAACATCCGAAAGTTGGAAACTCGGAAAACGAAAAATCGAATAATTAATAGCGGAAAATTGCAAAATCGAAAAATGAAAAATGGTAATATCGATGAACTGAAGAGACGAAAAATGGAAACATTGAAAAACTAAAAAACGAAAAAAATTAATTCATGGAAAAAATGGAAAACTTTTACAAAATCGAAAAATTATAGAATCGTCAAAATTGTAAGGTCGAAAAACATTGAAAAATTGAACAAATGGAAAATTAAATATCGAGAAATTGAAAAATTAAAAATCGAAATTTTGAAAATTCGAATAAATGAAAAAGATTTAAAATCCAATAATTGAAAAATGGAATATGTAATTCTAAAATCGGAAAGTTGACAATATGAAATTTTTTTTAAATTATGATAGTTATAAGATATCTCCATATTTGAAAACTGGGAAAATTGCAAATAAAAACTGAAGAAACGAAAAATCCAAAAATTGAAAACTCGTGAAATTATAAATCGAAAAATCGCAAAACCTAAAAATTTAAACATCCGAAAGTTGGAAAATCGAAAAATTGGAAAATTGAAAAATTAAAAATCGAGAAACTAAAAAATCGGAAAAATCGAAAAATCGAAAAACTGAAAGAACGAAAAATTGCAAAATCGAAAAAGTGAAAAATCGAAAAATCGCAAATCGAAGCTCTGAAGAAATGAAAAATCAAAACATTGAAAAACTAAGTCGAGAAACTTAAATATCGAAAAAATGTATGAATCAACAAAATGAAAAATCCAAAAATTATAGAATCGTCAAAATTGTTACATTGAAAAGTTGAACACTAAAATTAAATGTCGAATAATTAAAAATTAAAAGTATAAAAATTGAAAAATGGAATAATTATCAAATCGTAAAATTGCAAGTGATTTTTTTTTTAATTATTATAATTGTAAGATACATATTTAAAATGTAAACTAGAAAAATTCCAAACAAAAATTAAAAAAATTATAAAATAAAAACATTGAAAAACTTAAGAATTAAAAAATCTAACAATTGAAAACTCGTGAAATTGTAAAACGAAAAATTGAACCATCCGAAAATAAGAATATCGGAAAACTGAAAACTCGAAGAGATGCATATCGCAAAATTAAAGAGACGCAAAATTGGAAAACAAAAAATTATAACATCGGACTATTGAAAAATCGAAAAATTGTAAAAATAAGGAAAATAAAACTGAAACCAAAAAAAAATAAATCGAAAATTTGAAGAAGTGAAAACTAAAGAATTGAAAAATTGAAAAATCGAGAAATTTTAAATCTGAAAAATTGCAAAATTGCAAAATTTAAAAGACCAAAAAAATTAAAAATTAAAAAATCACAAGCCGAAAAATAGAGAAAATTTAAATTGAAAAAACTAAAAATTATAAAATCGAAAACATTGAAAAATCGAATATTTCATAAAATAAAGAAGGTAAAAAACCAAAACGAAAAATTGCAAATCGAAAAATTAAAAACTCGAGAAACTCATCGAAAAAATGCAAAATCTTAACAATTGGAAAATTAAATATCGAGAAATTGAAAAATTAAAAATGAGAATGGTTTAAAATCCAATAATTGAAAAATGGAATAATTCTAAAATCGTAAAATTGAAAGTGAAAAATTTTAAAAATTGTGATAATTATAAGATAATATATTTAAAATGAAAACTAGAAAAATTGCAAATAAAAATTGATGAAACGAAAAACTGAAAAATCCAAAAATTCCAAAATTTCACAATCAAAAAAGAAAAATTATAAAATACAAACATTGAAAAACTTAAGAATTAAAAAATCTAACAATTGAAAACTCGTGAAATTGTAAAACGAAAAATTGAACCATCCGAAAATAGGAATATCGGAAAACTGAAAACTCGAGGAGATGCATATCGCAGAATTAAAGAGACGCAAAATTGGAAAACAAAAAATTATAACATCGGACTATTGAAAAATCGGAAAATTGTAAAAATAAGGAAAATAAAACTGAAACCAAAAAAAAATAAATCGAAAATTTGAAGAAGTGAAAACTAAAGAATCGAAAAATTAAAATCGAGAAATTTTAAATCTAAAAATTGCAAAATTGCAAAATTTAAAAGACCAAAAAAATTAAAAATTAAAAAATCGCAAGTCGAAAAATAGAGAAAATTTAAATTGAAAAAACAAAAAATTATAAAATCGAAAACATTGAAAAATCGAAAACATTGAAAAATCGAATATTTCATAAAATAAAGAAGGTAAAAAACCAAAACGAAAAATTGCAAATCGAAAAATTAAAAACTCGAGAAACTCATCGAAAAAATGCAAAATCTTAACAATTGGAAAATTAAATATCCAGAAATTGAAAAATTAAAAATGAAAATGATTTCAAATCCAATAATTGAAAAATGGAATAATTCTAAAATCGTAAAATTGAAAGTGAAAAATTTTAAAAATTGTGATAATTATAAGATAATATATTTAAAATGAAAACTAGAAAAATTGCAAATAAAAATTGATGAAACGAAAAACTGAAAAATGCAAAAATTCCAAAATTTCACAATCAAAAAAGAAAAATTATAAAATACAAACATTGAAAAACTTAAGAATTAAAAAATCTAGCAATTGAAAACTCGTGAAATTTTAAAACGAAAAATTAAACCATCCGAAAATAGTAATATCGGAAAACTCGAAGAGATGCATATCGCAGAATTAAAGAGACGCAAAATTGGAAAACAAAAAATTATAACATCGGACTATTGAAAAATCGAAAAATTGTAAAAATAAGGAAAATAAAACTGAAACCAAAAAAATAAATCGAAAATTTGAAGAAATGAAAATTAAAGAATTGAAAAATTGAAAAATTAAAAATTGAAAACTCGAGAAATTTTAAATCTAAAAATTGCAAAATCTAAAAATTTAAAAGACCAAAAAAAAATAAAAATTAAAAAATCGCAAGTCGAAAAATAGAGAAAATTTAAATTAAAAAACAAAAAATTCCAAATCGAAAAATTGAAAACTCGCGAAACTCATCGAAAAATTGTAAAATCTTGACCAATTAGAAAATTAAATATCGAGAAATTGAAAAATTAAAAATGAAAATGATTTAAAATCCAATAATTGAAAAATGGAATAATTCTAAAATCGTAAAATTGGCAGTGAAAAATTTTAAATATTGACAATTACTATAAGATAATATATTTAAAATGAAAACTAGAAAAAATGCAAATAAAAACATTGAAAAACGTAAGAATTAAAAAATCTAAAAATTGAAAACTCGTGAAATTGTAAAACGAAAAATTTCAAAACGTAAAAATTGAACCATCCGAAAATAGGAAAATCGGAAAACTGAAAACTTTTAAAATGAAAACAAAAAATTATAACATCGGAATGTTGAAAAATCAAAAAATTGTAAAAATAAGGAAAATAAATACTGAAACCAAAAGTTATAAATCGAAAATTTCAAGAAATGAAAAATTAAAAAATCAAGAAATGAAAAATTAAAAAATTGAAAAATTGAAAAATTAAAAATTGAAAACTGGAGAAATTTTAAATCCAAAATTTGCAAAATCTAAAAATTGAAAAAACCAAAAAAAATGAAAACTTAAAAAATCGCAAATCGAAAAATTGAAAAAATTTAAATTAAAAAAACAAAAAATTATAAAATCGAAAACTTCAACAATCGAATATACCAAATTAAAAATATAAAAACCCGAAATGAAAAATTGCAAATCGAAAAATTGAAAAATTAAAAATTGAAAACTCGAGACTCAAATCGAAAAATTGCAAAATCTGAAAAGTGAAAAATTCAAAAGTCGAAAATTGGTCAACTAAAAAATTTAAACTTGAAAATTTGAAAGAAAGAAAAAAAATAAAGAATTGAAAAAAAAAACAAGTCAAAAAAACTGTGAGAGTGTTATTTACTTTTTAGAGGTTATCAGAAAATAAAAATCGCTGAAAATTTGTATAATTTTTCAAAGAAGCGGAATTCATAGGGTTGCAATTCAGAGACCAGGAAACTTCGATTGAAATAACCTTCACCCAATTTTTTTTTTTTGACTAAATCTAACTGAAATTTTAGTGTAAATTGTTACAATTTTGGAAAAATGATTACATATCGTGTAATTAGTGCATCAAATGATACTCTTGCGTAAGACAATACAATTTGTTTAACATGATGCAATTTAAAAAAGCAGCTTCGTTTTGACAATGAAATAATTTAGAAAAATTGAATTCCATTTATGTTTTATGTTAATTAAACATATTTTTGAAGATAAGAAATGGGCATCTGCAATATCAAATACATTCGTGTCAAGTTCTCCATAATTATGTAATGTAACCAACTCATATTGACCCAAATGTTAAATTAATTATTGTCCTGCACACTTTTCTAGGTTTTTGTTGTATACTTTTTGTCTTATTAACAATTAAGTAGTCGACATTATGAGTTATTTTTTAAACCTCAAAATGAGTCACAGATTTGCAATCAACTAAAATGTCCATCACTCTGACAAAACTTGCGAACAAATTAATTCTTTTGACGTCATTCGCACTCTGGAAACAAAAACTAAAAGAAAAATACACAATTAACGCTAACTTTTTTCTCCTAAACGGAACGTTTACCTTGGATAACAACAATATGACGTAAATTTATTTCACATAACAGTCTCACAGAGTACAAACCGTGAAGATTACCATCGACTCTGAGGTTAATTAAAACAGAAAATATACACGTTCGCAAATAAAAAAACAACCTTAAAATTAAAACCAGTTCAACGGTAGATATGCTACAAAAACTGATGACGTCTTTTCTATACTTCTTATACTAATTCTAATTTTGACCCCAGGAAATCGCGCTGTATGGCGAATTCAGCATCCGCGAAACCCTCAAATACTTCGGCTGGATCGCCGGAAAAACAACCGCCCAAGTCGAAGAAAAACTGGGATTTCTAGTCAATTTTCTGATGTTGCCAGACGCCGACCGATTAGTGAAAACCCTGAGTGGTGGCCAACAGCGGCGGGTTTCCTTAGCCGCCACTCTTGTTCATGAACCAGAATTGCTTATCCTTGATGAACCAACGGTGGGTGTTGACCCTTTGCTAAGACAGAACATTTGGAACCACCTGGTGGAAATCACGAAGACTGGAAGGACGACGGTCATTATTACCACTCACTACATCGATGAAGCGCGGCAAGCCCATTTGGTAAGTTTATGGTTTGTTAAAAAATAAGGAAGTTGACAAGTAATTGCTTTGTTAAGTAAGCATGTGTTACGAGAAGATTAGAAAAGAAATGAAAAATGTTGCGGATCGTCAAGGTTGGCGGTACCATTAATTGTGCCATTAGCACTTTTATCAAAATGTAATTTATGCAATTACTCTGTCATCTAGCTTAAATTATTATTGGTGGTTTGAGCGTAAATACGAGGGCTCCTTGACCATATTCTAGTGGAAGCCTATTGTGTAATTGCCCACACACGCATTGGATGAACTTGCGTTATTCGTAAAGAAATGGAGGGATAACGTTAATAATATGTTTGAAAATAAACTGGTTGTGATACGTAAGGAATCATTGCGCATCGAAAGTTATTATTAAAAACACCACGGCTGACAAGTTTAAAAATAAATTTGTTTATGACTAATTACCATTACTTGTTGTTTTCAGCTTAGTCGTAAATGGTAAATTATCTATCTCTGCATATCTAGCAAATCGCTGAAATCCTTTGTTATTAACATAAATTTAAACAAAAAAAGGAATAAAGAATGCGTAACATTTCGACTTCCTTCTGAAACTTGACTTAATTAATAATAACTACTTTTGTGATACCTAGTCCACTTCGATAATACGATTAAGATATCTAAACTGCTGGAAAATCTGTGCTAAGACGAACATAACAGGTAAAACAACAACAAATTATCAAGAAAAAAGTCATTGAAATTCAAATGAATAAAAAAAGCTGAATGACAGAAATTATCGAAATGTGCCAATTATAGTCAGTAAAGTAATTAATGCTTGTAAAAATGTAGACAATTACGCAACAGCCTTGTTGTTTACTGTCTATTGTACATTCCAACCAAAAAAACGCTATTTAAAATTATTAAAATTCAAGCAATAATTCGATTTGATATGAACTTTTAATATGTAAAAATTAAATTATAACACGAATAAAAACAAACAACAAAACTTTATGATAATTTATGTAAGATTCGAAGTCGAAGCGGTATGGACTTCAGAACAAACGTAAACCACAGCTATAATTTAAAACCCATTCGTTAATTTTCTACTCACTAAAATTACCAAGCAATGCAGAAACATGCTTTTGCGTCATTAACAACTCCAAACGACAATAAGTGGCCAAAACCTTCCGCTCTTCCGAAGTCAATGACGGCCACGTACAGGTTTGCCTTGATCTGTAAAAGTTTTCGTATCGACAAACAACTTGGGAAATTCCGCAACTATTACCAAAATCAGAGCTTGCGGGAGGAAAAGGCGTTGTCATTGTTCACTATACAAAAATTTGGGAAATACTAGTGTCAACATCGGTAATTAATTTTTTACGTGATCATGTAGAAATTCCTCATTCTTGTATTTTCCATAATGGAATTTTTGGAAGGTTTTGTATACTCGAAGCCGGATCCTGGCATATACGCTCAGATTTTTGTAGCTTCGTTTCTATTTTTTTACAACTATCTTTCATAATGTAGCCACACTGAAAATATCTCATTTGCATTCATTCATCACTTCAGTAACTGTAAATTATCTGAGAACTCAATTTCTCTATTGAATAAAATTTGAATACAGAGTAAAAGAAGCGTTTATATCGACGTATTAATTAATATTAATTATAATTACAAATAGCAGATTTATATTCAGTAAAATTCAATGGTGCTTCCCCAATGTGTGTTTATTTGTGCAAATTTTAAAAACGTGCTAAGTTAATGGTGCTACCGTGCTGTCATCACTACGTAATCTTGTCACGAAGATTTGTGGTCGAACTTAAAGATCGTTTCTTGGATTTATCTGCTGTCACTTCACGAAAATCAATAAATCACCTGCACCAAAACACCGATTGGAATCTTTCCGAACAAAACTTATTGTGGAAGTTGTAGCGGTTACAATTTGCCGTTGGCCATAAATTTGCAAAATGATTATCCGTTCGACTAATACGAATTATTATCGTACGATGTAATATTAGAGGTCGTTAAACGCTACGATTTCGTGCCAGTTTTATAACAGTAAGTGATTTGTTTGTTAAAAAGTTTTGCTTTTCCAATTGTCTGTCTGTTTGTCTATCGTCTGTCCGGACTATCATGTGTGTAAAATGCCAACCAAATATTGGCTAATCTTCCCCACCAACAATTTGATGACGTCATCTCCAAAATTTACAATAGTGAATTTGTTTTTATTTTCCTGTATTTGTGGTATATGTGTCCGAGTTGAGTTTTCGCCCTACTCATTCGGATTTTTGGAAAAAAAATCAAAAATGTATAACAACATTTTGCAATTTAACTTTGAAATTGCACTGAAACCTTGTAAACGTTTTAACGTTGTCCTAATTCATTCATGCCCTCCCAAAAAATTGATGACGTCATTGCAAAATTTTGATGACTGTATACTTGTGGTTAATCAATGCACAGTTTTTAGAATTACTTATACAAGGTGACTGAAAAAAATTCTTGAATGAGGCACTATATTTTTCCAAAAATTTGGGAGCACAATACTGTTATTATAAGTCCAAATTGATATACAGTGACGGCTAAAATAAAATAGGACATCTCTTGAAAGGATTTTTCCAAAAAAATTAGTTAGGTATGTAAACTGGACATTGAATTCATTAACAATGACAATTAAACGTCAATACAGATTTGAAAGTTACACTAGGGAAATAAATGTGTCCTACTTTATTCTGGTACTGTAGATGTCCTTGAAAAACTGTTGATAACGATTTTTCAATTTTCATTTTTCCAATATTTTTCATTTCATTTATATTTCAATGTTTCTTTCGTGTTAATAATTTTTCTTTGGTCTTTCAATTCCTCGATTTTTGGATTTCTTTAATATCCAGTATTTCGATTATACCTACAACATTTTGTTTTTTCGTTTTCGCAGTTTTTCAATTTTTAAATTTCTCAATTTCTAGCCTTTCGATTTTTGAATTTTTCATTTCTTCCTTTTTTTAAGTTTTTTACTACAAATTTTTACATTTTTCAAAGCTTTCATTTTATACTTTTTCGTTTTTTCATTTTTCATTTTTCAATCATAATTTTACAATTTTTCCGTTTTATTGTTTCGAAAAGTTGAAAATCGAAAAACTAAAAAATCGAAAAATGAAAAAAAACCTGAAATTCTTGAAATATTATGAAATCGAAAAATTGGAAAATCGAAACATCGAAAAGCCAAAAAGTCGAAAAATTGAAAAACCGAAAATAGAAAAATTGAAACATCGAAAAATTGAAAAATCTAAAATTGAAAAAATTAAAATTTCGAAAAATTAAAAAAACTTGAAAAAATTGAAAATTCGAAAAACTAAAAAAATGAAAATTTGCAAAATCGAAAAAGTGGCAAATCGAAAAATTTCACTACAAGACGTCGGAAAACTGAAAAATTAAAAAATAAAAAACTTAAAAATTAAAAAAATTAATGAATCGAAAAATCGATAAGTAAAAACGAGTCGAATCGAAAAATTGGAGAGTCGGAAAACAGTAACACTGAAAGATCGAAAATTGAAAATTAAAATTCGAAAAATTGAAAAAATTTTAAAATCCAATAACTGAAAAATAGAAAAACTGTAAAATCGAAAATTGGAAAAACGAGAAATTTCAATACGAAGAACTGAACAAACGAAAAATCCAAACATTGAAAAATTTTAAATTAGGAAACTTAAAAATCGAAAAAAATTAATGAACTGAAAAATTGGAAATAAGAAAAATTGTAAAGTCGACAAACTGAAAAATATTTCATTTTTCAGTTTGTCGACTTTACAATTTTTTTCGTTATTTAAACGAGAAATTAAAAAACTAAAAATCGAATAAATGGAAAAATTTTGAAATCCAATAATTGAAAAATGGAAAAATTTTAAAGTCGTAAAATTGAAAAAGTGAAAATTTTTAAACTTATAATTACATATTATTAGCTACATATTTAAAATAAAAATTAGAAAAATTGCACATCAAAAATTAAACAAACGAAAAATTGAAAAATTGAGAAACTGAAAAATCGCAAATCTGCGCTGTTGAAAAATTGGGAAATCGAAAAATTGGAAAATGGAAACATCGAAAAGTCGAAACGCCAAATAGTTGAAAAACCGAACATAGAAAAAGTTAAAGTCGTAAAATTGAAAAAGTGAAATTTTTTTAAACTTATAATTACCTACTATTAGATACATATTTAAAATAAAAATTAGAAAAATTGCACATCAAAAATTAAAGAAACGAAAAATTGAAAAATTGAGAAACTGAAAAATCGCAAATCTGCGCTGTTGAAAAATTGGGAAATCGAAAAATTGGAAAATGGAAACATCGAAAAGTCGAAACGCCGAACATAGAAAAATTAAAATATCGAATATATAATTGGAAAATGTAAGACTTGAAAAACTGAAAAATCGAAAAATTGAAACATCAATATCTTGTTATATCCAGAAATAGAAAAATTTAAATATAAAAAAATTGAAAAATCGAAAAATCAAAATGGAAAAACTGTAAAATTTAAAATCGAAAGACGCAGAAATCGTAACATCAAAAAATTGAAAAATCTAAACTTAAAAAATTCGATGAATTGAAAAATTGACTACTTAATTGAGTACTGAAAAACTGAAAAATCTAAAAATCTAAAATTTAAAATGTCGAAAAAGGAGAAATTAATAAAAACATTAAAAATTGAGGAATTGAAAACTGAAAAATTCCAAATCTCGAATACTTAAAAATGGAGTAATCGAAAAATCGAGAAATTAAAAATTAAAAAAAAACACGAGAAATTGAAAAAATGTAAAATTTAAAAATTCGAAGAATTGAAACATTAAAAAATTGAAACGAAAAATAGAGAATTCGGAAAATCTAAAATCTAAAAATTTGAGAAAATTTGAAAAATCTAAATGTTAAAAAATCGAAAATTTGTAAACCGAAAAATTGCAATCCAGAAATTGATGAAATCCAAAACTTGAAAATTTTCACATTGAAATAAAAAATTAGACAATCAGAACACTGAAAAACCGAAAAATTGAAAAATAAAAAAATTAAAATCGAAACAAAAACTTGCAAATTGAAATATTGAAGACATGTAAATTATTTAGTTATTAAATTATTATTTATTTATTTATTATTTAATTGAAAAGTTTAAAAATTGAAAAATTCATAACGAGATATTGAAAAATTAAAAATCGAAAAATTGAAGAATCAAATAATTGAAAAACGAAAAAATTATAAAATCGTAAAAAACTGAAAAATAGAAGCCTGAAAAAACGAAAAATTGAAAAAACAAAAATCGAGAAACATAAAAATTACAGATGTACCGACTGTAGGTCTGGCCGACTAACCGACTAGCCGATTGTTCGGCCAGTAAAAACCGACTAGTCGGCCGACTGTTCGGCTTTGCTAAAACCGGTTTATAAATGCCACAAACAGTGTGTTTTTTGTTTCTATTTCTCTGGCTACCTTAAAGGTTTGTTCTATTTTAATAAAAGGAATAACTAAAGTTCCTTTGTTTTCCAAAAAATGTGTTAAATTTGTTTGGATAATTTTAACATTTAATTTTTTTTAGTAACTCAGTACAAAAATAAAGAATAACACAATTTAGTGCCAGTTTATACAATATTTTAACTGAGTTTAAATTGATCGCGCATTTAACAAGGCCATTAGCGACGTCTGATTGGCGTAGAGTCGGTCACATGATACTTTAACGCGGGGTTAAAAATTAAATAATAATATAATAATATATTTATTTATCCAGCAGACTAATATATAGTCCATAGTGGATACAACCACAGGAACAATATTAAATTTACAATAAACACATAAACAATATTAAATTTACAATAAACACATAATGCTCACAACATTGGTACACTTACACATGATTCAATTCCAACAATTGTTTCCTTACATTAGCTTTACTAAAATTATGAAAAAATATATCTAGACGACCATCACAAACAGAATTATATAAGCGAAAAGCATATATCAATGGACAGTTATAATGATGAAAAGTATTGGGTATAGCAAAATAAAATAACTTTGGACATCGGCTAATTTGTCTTGGGATGTTGAATTTGATTTCATGGAGAAGCTCCTGACAACATATCTGACCTAAAGTGAGTTTTTGTAGAAAAATTAAACTAGCTGCATTTCTTCTTCTTATTAAAGATTGTTCATTGACAATAGACAATAAGCTAGATTGATCACAATGTCTGCTTGGATACCTATTATACATTTTTAAAAATAAATACTTTGCAAATTTGCGCAAGACATTCTCTAACAAGTCAATATATTTTTGGTAATACGGCTTCCATACAATGCAACAATATTCCATTCTTGACCTTACTAAAGCATAAAAAAGTATTTTGATACATTGTATGTTAACAAAATCCATGGTGTTACGACGAATAAATCCTAGCTGTTGCATAGCAGTCTTGGTGACATGCAGGATGTGTGGGGCAAATGACAAACTACAGTCCATAACAACACCTAAATCAGATATCTGTTGACAATTCTCAAGTACATAACCATCTAAATTGTAATAATAGGAAATAGGTTCACGTGTACGAAAGAAGGTAATCTTTTTACATTTACTTTTGTTAATTTCAAACTTATTACTATTACACCAATGCAGTAACTTTTCTAAACTGGTTTGTAGCTCATAACAGTCCTCAGCCCTATTGACAACTTTTGCCAGTTGTAAGTCATCGGCGTATACAAATGCCCTACATCCCAAGTCTTTTACGACGTCGTTGTAAAATATAATAAAAAGAAGAGGACCTAAATTTGATCCTTGACCAACTCCACTGTTAACTTTATATATCGACGATCTAAATCCTTTACACAAAACTCGTTGTTGCCTATCAGTTAACCAAGATTTAAGAACAGATATTAAATTATCGCATAAACCAAAACTTTCCAACTTTTTTAATAAAATACAGTGATTAACTTTGTCAAATGCTTTAGATAAGTCGGTATATATAGCATCAACTTGTGATCTTTTATCTAAAGCATTTGAGACAAACTGCGTGAATTCGCATAAGTTAGTTGTCGTGGAGCGGCCCTTGACAAAACCATGTTGTTCAGTTATAATATCAGATTTCACATGGGCATAGATAGCATCTGTTAATATGCACTCAAACAATTTAGCAAAATTTGGGATGAGAGATATGGGCCTATAGTTCTTAATGTTCGACTTGTCACCCGACTTAAAAATTGGCACAACATTTGACGTTTTCCATACTGTTGGATACTGTGAAGATATTAATATCCGATTAAATATATGACAAAGTGGAGATAGAAAACAACTTATGCAATCCACAATCAAAAATGCCGGTATGTTATCAGCACCACAGACATTATTCGCTTTTATACCCTTTACAGCCTTAAGAATGTCGTTGTCACTTATAGAGAACCTATTTAAAATAACATTTTTTACACAGTCTACTCTAACATCAAAAGATGGACAACAATATTTAAAACAGTTATCACAGATATTTTCACAATTATCACGGCATATTACATCGCAGACATGGTTCTCGTTATCGCAGTTGTACATACTTTTAAAGTGACTAGCAAATGTGTTGACTATATCTTGTTGAGATGTCAAGGTATGATTCTCAAAGGTCATGAGACCAGGAACATTCGTGGCTTTCTTTTTTTCATTAACAAACGACCAAAATTTTTTCGGATGGCTTTGTAGAGAAGTTTCAGATTTTCTTATAAACTCATAATATGTGTACCTAATGTCTTTTCTGATTTCACAGCCTAACTTCTTCACTTTATCAAGATGATGTACTGACTTGGTTTTTCTATAAATATCCCAATGTCTATTCTTTGTTTTGATTTTGTTGATAACAGATCTAGTATACCAAACAGGGTAATTTTCCCGCTGACCAAAGGACTTTGAAATTGGTACATATTGGGAGATGTTGGTAAAAATGATTTCATTGAATTTCTCACAGGCCAGAGTAGGATCAGCAGCATCTAAAACTGGCAACCAGTCAGTCCCAGCAAGTGATAGGTAGAGCCCTTCCAGATTACCTTGTGAAAGTTAAATCTCAAGTCATCAGTCCCATGTACAAATGGTACACTATCCAGGTTCACTAATTCCAGTTGTATATTTAGAGCAGGATGATGATTATCCTCTGTAACTAATGTCAACTCCTGTTTGTCTACAGTTACTGTTAAACTTTCTGTCGTCAGAACTAAATCTAATATTCTGTTGTTGCAATTGAGAATGCTGTTGTGTTGAACCAAGTTATTTAACGCCAGAAACTGTGTGTAGATGTTAAATAATTGGGTTGTCCTTGTACCTGTCACACATCGCAATTAAATATTTAATTGAGGTTTTTTTTTGTTTTTGTTTTTTAAATTTTAATTGTTTTATATACTATTTTAATTTTAATAAAAAAAGCCGACTGATCGGCTGTTTAGCCGACTAGTCGCCGACTGCAGCCGACGATGAAAAACGGCCGAATAGTCGGCTTATCCGACCGGTCGGCCACTAGTCGGTACATCCCTAATAAAAATCGAAAAAAATTAATCGAATCGAAAAATTATAGAATCGTAAAAATTATTGTAAAGTCGAAAAGCTGTAAAACTGAAAAATTTAATATTGAAAAATTGAAAAATTAAAAATCGAAAAACTGAAAAATTAAAAATCGAGAAATTGAAAAATTGAATAAATGAAAAAGTTTTAAAATCCAATACAGGGTGTCCCAGAATTCGCGCCATTCCCCTGAATGACATGTTCCCTGTCCCGAACTGAGCCGTAATTCGCAAAAACAATTGTCCAGGCTTTAACCGTGTGAGAACTGGAAGACGATTAAGTTGACCAATAGAGAGGCTGCTTTTATATTCGAACGTTTCTATGTTTAAAGTTACCTATGCCAAGAACAAAAAATCGGGTAATACTAAAGTTGAATGAATTTTTTTCGAATCCCCCTCCGTCAACAAAAGGAAACAGAAGTGTGGTTATAAATTTAATCATTTTGACAATTGCTTGTCATAAACTGTCACGAAGTTGATCACTGACCTGAAGAGACGCTTCTGCGCCAAAGATGACTGGTTAATGTACACAAAGACGTCAAGGTTTAGTTTAAGGCAAGTAGCATGGGACAGAAGTTATTTTTGCTGCCATTCTAGTTAAATTGTGTTTAACTGGGCTGGACATGCCATAAGAGAAGCTGTTTCATTTCATCGTAGGCAAATAATACATTTATTACTATTCTACATAGTGTAGATACCGAAGAGCAGGTATTAGAAGTCATTTTCTTAGAGCCTCGTGAATAATGTGTTGTTCTTTTAAATGAAAATTAGTACATTTACAGAATTCACTATGCATCGTGTCCCTGATATTAAGTTTATCGTTATTTCTAAAAAAGAGTACCACATGTCCATTCAAAGAACGTTATTAAGAGTACTAAAACATAAATATCGCTTTTGATTAATCGGTGCTTATAATTTTCAATAAACAGTAGGTATCAATTTTTACTGAACAGCTTTGTTGTTGATACCTAATCTAAGCAACGAAAAAGAGACGAGACTCCACTTCTCTGGTGTATTGAGATCAGAGGTATCTGCTGTGTGTCAATCATGTGGGGGAGATACTGAAAACGGAGACTTATTCAAGAATAATATTGATGTTGCACATGCTGATTTAAAACAGTTTCTTTAAAGTTGCGAGTACTTTCCTAGAGAGTGAAAAGATACGAATAAAAATTATAACAAAAATCGTTTAGTTGCATTTTTTTTTAAGAACAATACAAACTATAAACAAATCAGTACCAATACCACTAAGTCACTGATGTCTTATTCAATTGGCACTTCTGGGCAAACGAAAATCCACATTTAGCTAACGTGAGAGCATATCAAGAGCAATACTATTAATCTATGGGCCGGAATCGTTGTACTGTAACGTTATTAAACAATGTGCTCAAAATGATCACCATTAACTTCAATGCAAGTTCTAGCTCGTCGCATTATGTTGTTCCAGTTCTTCTAACGTATCTAGGGGTTCTCTATATACGTAATTTTTAATTTAATTAAAAAAAAAGTCCAAAGGAGAAAGGTCTGGAGATCTAGGAGGCCAAATGTTAGTACTGCCACGCCCAATCCACCTATGAGGATAGACTCTTTTCAATGTTCGCCGTGCAAGTATCGAATTATGTGGAAGAGCGCCGTTGTGCTGAAACCACATATTCCGCCGTACATTCAAAGGAACGTCTTCCAACAACGCCGGAAGCTCTAGTCGTAGAAAATTAGCATATGCCTCCCCATTAAGGTGATCAGGTAACACAAACGGCCCCACCTAAAAAACAGGAACGGAGTTTAGTGATAATTTTATCAGATGCATTAAAATTTTTACCACAGTAGTACCAATGATTCCAGCCCATAGATTAATAGTAAATCGCTCCTGATACGCTCTCACCCTAGTGAGATGTGGATTTTCGTGTGCCCAGAAGTGCCAATTGTGTGCATTAAACATTCCTTCTCGGGAAAATGAACATTCGTCGGTGAAAAGAATGCGCCGTGAAAAATCAGGATTTAGTTCATTTTGTCGCAAAAACCATTGAGCAAAATGTACTCGTCGCGGGTAGTCGGTTGGTCGCAGATGCTGCACTCTCGTGTAATGGTAAGGATGCAGTATTCTCTCTTGAAGGGTACGATGAGTGGTCGATCTTGAGCATCCACTCATTTGCGCTACATAGAGGACACTTCTCCTAGGATCCGCTTCCATGTTTTCTAACACTTGCTCTTCAGCACCCACACGTACATTCCGTGGAGCCCCAGCCTTTCCGACTAGGTTGAAAAGATCCATCTTCTCTTGCTCGATGTAACAATCGGTGAAACACTTGTTGGTCTGGGTGCCGACGATTATTCACGGGGCTCTAAGAAAATGACTTCTAATACCTGCTCTTCGGTAGCTACTCTATGTAGAATAGTAATAAATGTATTATTTGCCTACGATGAAATGAAACAGCTTCTCATATGACATGTACAGCCCAGTTAAACACAATTTAACTAGAATGGCAGCAGAAATAACTTCTGTCCCATGCTACTTGCCTTAAAGTAAACGTTGATGTCTTTGTGTACATTAATCAGTCATCTTTGGCGCAGAAGCGTCTCTTCAGGTCAGTGATGAACTTCGTGACAGTTTATGACAAACAATTGTCAAAATGATTAAATTTATAACCACACTTCTGTTTCCTTTTGTTGACGGAGGGGGATTCGGAAAAAAATCATTCAACTTTAGTATTACCCGATTTTTTGTTCTTGGCATAGGTAACTTTGAACATAGAAACGTTCGGATATAAAAACAGCCTCTCTATTGGTCAACTTAATCGCCTTCCAGTTCTCACACGGTTAAAGCCTGGACAATTCTTTTTGCGAATTACGGCACAGTTCGGGACAGGGAACATGTCATTCACGGGAATGGCGCGAATTCTGGGACACCCTGTATTTAAAAGATGAAAAATTTTAAAGTTACAAAAATTGGAAGAGTGCAAAATTTTTAAACTTACATATATGTAATTATGGTATTATTAGATACATATTTCAAATGAAAACTAGAAAAATTGCAAATTAAAAACTGAAGAAACGAAAAATTGAAAAATCAAGAAACTGAAAAATCCCAAATCTGCATTCTTGAAATATTATGAAATCGAAAAATTGGAAAATCGAAACATCGAAAAGCCAAAAAGTCGAAAAATTGAAAAACCGAAAATAGAAAAATTGAAACATCGAAAAATTGAAAAATCTAAAATTGAAAAAATTTAAAAACCGAAAATAGAAAAATTGAAACATCGAAAAATAAAAAATCTAAAATTGAAAAAATTGAAAAAATTAAAATTTCGAAAAATTAAAAAATCCAGAAATTGAAAAATTCTCAAAATTGAAATGTTTAATTGAGAAATCGGAGACTTGAAAAATTGAAAAATCGAAAAATCAAAAACTTTAAAATCGAAATTAATCTAAACATTAAAAAATGTAAAAATCTGAACTTTAAAAATTGGAAAAATTAAAAATGTCGAAAAATCGAGAAATCGAAACATTAAAAATTGAGGAATTGAAAATTGAAAAATTCCAAACCTCCAGTATCTAAAAATTGAGAAATTAAAAATGCAAAAAAAACGAAAAATTAAAAAATGTAAAATTTAAAAATTTGAAGAGTTGAAAAATCGAAGAAATGAAAAATCTAAAATTTAAAATTTTGAAGAAATAAAATGTCGAAAAATTCAAAAATCTAAATGTTAAAAAATCTAAAATTTGAAAATAGAAAAATTGCAAATCCAGAAATTGAAAAATGCAAAAATTCAAAAATTTCTCATTAAAAAAAAAAGAAAAATTAGAAAATCAGAACACTGAAAAACACCAAAAATTCAAAAATAAAAAACCGAAACAAAAACTTGCAAGCTATGAAAATTTGAAAAATTTAAAAATTCAAAACTCTAAAATTGCAAATCGAAAAATTGAAATCTGAAAATTTAAAACAAAAACTCAAAAAGATACATACATATTACGATATTATACGTAATTGAAGAAACAAAAAAAAAATTTAAATCGAAAAATTGCAAATCGAAAAATTAAAGAAGAAATAAACTGAAAAAATTGAAATTGAAATAACAAAAAGTTATAAAATCCGAAAGTTGAAAAATCGAAAAATTGTAAAAATAACGAAAATAAAAAACCGAAGTCATTTTCATTCCAAATTTGAAGAATTGAAAAATTAAAAATGAAAACTCCAGAAATTAGAATTTCATTTGAAAATAACGTTGCTAACTCAAAGGATCCCAAACTTCTGTACAAATATATAAGGTCAAGTATTAACGGATTGGCAGAAACTCCACAACTCAAAAATCATAACGGTGACCTAATTACTGATAATTATGTTACTGCCGAAGTTTTCGCGGATAGTTTCTCAGCAAACTACTTGGTGGAACCACCTATTCATTCTTCGTTGACCTCTGATTCCATTGTTCATTCTTCTATTCTCATGGATGTAGAATTCTCGGAGGACAACATATCAAAAAAAATCAACTCGTTAAAAGAAAACACCTCTCCAGGACCAGATGGACTATCAGCTACTATGCTACGAAACTGTGCTCAATCTCTATGTAAACCTCTCAGCATTCTGATGACTCAATCTTTTAAATCGGGTTCTCTTCCTTCTGATTGGAAGCTAGCTAATGTGAAACCTATTTATAAAAAAGGAGACAAATACTGTGCGACTAACTATCGACCTATAAGTCTCACTTCTCTCGTCGTAAAAATGATGGAATCGATTATTTGTGATAGTCTTCGTGCGTTTCTTAATCAGCAAAACGTCATACCAACTAAACAACATGGTTTTGTGTCGGGAAGATCTACTACTACTAATCTGCTGAGTTGTGTAAACGATTGGACTAAAAATTTTGATCGAGGAATACCAACTGACGTTATCTATTTTGACTTTGCAAAGGTATTTGATAGAGTCCCAATTCAACGACTTATATTAAAACTAAAATGGCTTGGTGTCTCAGGTAATCTGTTGGTTTGGATTAAATCCTTTCTCTCTGAGCGATTGTTTAGAGTAAAAGTTGGTGAGGTAGTGAGTGGTCACAAGCAGGTAATAAGTGGTGTTCCGCAGGGTTCTGTATTGGGACCCCTCCTGTTTCTTGTATACACAGCCGACTTAAGAAAGCATATTCGGTCACCATGTGCGTTTTATGCTGATGATTTTAAAATCTATAACTCGTCCTGTAAACTAAATGTAATTGCGACGGATATATTAGCTGTGACGGAGTGGAGTAAAAAATGGCTCATTCCTTTGAACATTAGCAAATGTGTTGTCTTGCACATTGGCCCCCATAATCCCAGAGCTGACTACTTCATATATGGTGTTCCACTGACTAAAGTAGATGCACAGAACGACTTAGGAGTAACAATTACCACCGATTTAACGTGGTCACAACATATCGCTAAAATAGTAAGTAAAGCCAACAAAATGGTATATCTATTAAGACGTACGTTTAAAAATCCTAACCATGACACAGTTGCAAAACTACACAAAACATACGTAAGGCCAATCCTGGAGGAATTTAGTGTGGTATCCAATTTTAGTTAGGGATAGTGATCTGTTAGAAGGCGTTCAGAGGCGCATGACTCGATTACCTTATGGCATTTTGCGACCATCGTATGAACAGAGACTCGTAATCATGAAATGCCCTGCATTGGGTCAAAGAAGAACAAGAGGAGACGCCATTGCAACATTTATTGCACTCATATTAAATGTTCCTCCGACGAACAGCATGTTTACTTTGAATTCTGATGTGCGTACTAGAGGTCATCAGTTCAAGCTCCAGAAAGAAGCGTTTCGCACTAGAACCCGCCAGTTCTTCTTCTCGAACCGTATTTTCGACACATGGAACTCTCTGCCATTACAAGTAGTGTGCAGCCCAAGTGTACTTAGTTTCAAGAAAAATTTTGATCATTTTATGAATATGTAAACTATTTGTATTGTAATATTTGTATTTGTTGAATTTAATAAAGTTAAGAACTATTGTTGCTCACGCGGGCATAACAGAGTGTGAGCTCTCTGCTCGAGCGTGCAATAATAATAATAATAATAATAATAATAATAATAATAATTTTAAATCGAACTATTCCAAAATCTAAAAATTGAAGAAAGAATAATGAAAAATTGAAAAATCACAAATCGAAAATTGAGTAAAGAGAAATTTGAAAAACACAAAATTATAAAACCGAGATATCGAAAATTGGAATATTTGAAAAAATAAAGAAAACGAGAAATTGCAAATCGAAAAACTGAAAATTTAAAAATTGAAAAATCGAAAAACTCAAACAGAAATATTTAAAATCTAAAAATTGAAAAATTCAAAAGTTGGAAAATTGAAAAATTGAAAGATTTAAATTTGGAAACCCAAAAAATTGCAACCAAAGAAATAAAAAAAAAATTAAAAATTGAGGAATTGCAAATTTCAAGTCAAAAAACTGCCGGAAAGATTTGTAGATAGAGGTTATCAGAAACCAAAAAACGCAAATAAATTGTATAATTTTTCAAAGAAGCAAAATTTATTCAGAGGCGAGAGAAATTCTGTCGAAATATGCTTTGACCAATTTTTTATCATGAATAGAAATTTCTTGGGACTGATATTACTGTGAACGAACAGTCGATGAAGTCTGTTTGAGATGTAAATTCAGTAAGGTTTATCTGACAACCTGCTGGCGCCCTAGAAACCACCAAGTAGAACTTTTAATCGTTTATTTTTAAGACAACTTATTTTCTCTTCCTTATCTTCTTGATTTCCAATTTTCCAGATCGGACTAATGCGCGGCGGCTACTTCCTTGCCGAAGAATCCCCCGACCGCTTAATCACCCAGTTCGGTTGCGACAGCCTGGAGGGTGTCTTCCTCAAACTCAGCGTCATCCAGAACATGGGCAAAACGCGACGTGCCAGCATCGCGCAAGCAGTCACTGAAACCATCCAAGTCCCTTCAGGGTCCATCAACGACGCCGCAGTTCTAGACGACGAAGTCAGCGAAATCACAGGAGAATTCGGAGACAACGTATCAATGTCAAGCAGAGGAAGAGTCTCCATAGCGCCAGAACCAACCGAAATCAGTCATCCGGAACTTCCTCCAGACGAAAAACCACCAATGACTGTGACAGACTTTTTCAAAATCGTCAGCTTGACTCACATGAGGGCTCTCATCTGGAAGAACTTCCTGTGGATGTGGCGGAACGCTCCAGTGATGGCGTTTATCATAGGGTTGCCGGTGGCCCAAACGGTGCTGTTTTGTTTGTCCATAGGGCACGATCCCTCGGGGTTACCACTTGCGGTGGTCAATCACGAGTTGGAGGAGAGTGAGGTGTGCAAGTGGACTCCGGGATGTAATAGTACGAGGCTGAGTTGTAACTATTTGACGTATTTGGAGAAGAGGACTTTGCAACTGGTGAGTTGAGGTGGTTTCTGTGGTTCGTGTTTTGAAGTATGATGATTTGGTGTGGTAGAGTTACTATTCGGATGATGAAGAAGGAAAGGTACCTGTGAGTCGGGGACACGCTTGGGCTACTTTGGTATTTTCTAGTAACTTCTCGGACGCGATTAGAAGGAGGATTGAAGGTGGAAGAAATGTGATGGATTGGGATTTGGATTCGGCGTCTGTAAAAGTCTTTCAGGACAAATCTAGTAAGTGTATTTTGCTGTACAAGCTAAATCTCCCGTTTCCGTTCGTCGGTCTGTCTGTCACCGTCTGTCCGGATTTTTACCGAAACTATAAGACCGATTGTCACAAAAAAAATCGCAAAATCAAATCTTATAACTTTTCGAAAAAGCTGGATTCATTTATTTTCGTCAATTTTTTTGATATTACAATTTACGTTTTTCCTTTTTCTTCGATTTTACAATTTTTTTATATACATATATGTATTACAATTTTCCATTTTTTCGCAATCTTTCATTTTTCAATTGTTCCATTTTTCAATGTTTCCGTTTCGTAATTTTTCCGTTTTTGCATCTATAAATTTTTAAAATTTTTCAATATTCCAACTTCCAAATTTTTCAATTTTCCGAGTAATAATATTGCAATTTTTTATTTTTTGTGTTTTTTTCAGTTCCTAAATGTTTAATTTTTCGATTTTTTAATTTTCATTTCCTTAATTTTTCAAGTTCTTATTTTTTTATTTTTCATTTTCCCAATTTTTTAATTTCCATTTTCTCGATTATATATCACAATTTTTCGTTTTTTCATTTCCGTTATTTTTTTTAATGTTTCTTTCGATTTTATAATTTTTCGTTTATTCAATTTTTTATTTCTTGATTTTCCAATTTTTCAATTTTCAATTTAGCGATTATTCAGTCTTCCGATTTCTTTAATTTTCATTATTTCGATTTTTCTAAAGTTTCCATTTTATAATTATTCGCTTTTGGATTTTTCAATTTTTCTATTTTACAATTTTGCAATTTTTACATTTTTTTTTTATTCCAAAAGTTGAAAAATAGAAAACTTAAAAAAACAAAATCTAAAAAACTTAAATATCGAAAAAAATTAATGAATTGAAAAATTCGAAAGAAGAAAAAACGAATCGAATTGAAAAATTGTATAATCGAAAAATTATGGAATCTTCAAAATTGTAAAGTCGAAAAGCTGTAACCGTCAAATTAAAAAAGTAAAAAAATTTAAAACTTATAAATATTAATACATGCATATTTAAAATGAAAACTATAAAAATTGCGGATTAAAAATTGAAGAAACGAAAAAAAATAATTGAAAAAGCACAAATTGAAAAGTTGAAGAATCGAAAATATGAAAAATCAAATAATTCAAGATCAAGAAAATAAACAAATGAAACGAAACATTGAAAAACCTAAAAATTGAAAATAATCTAAAAATTGAAAACTCATGAAAAAGCAGATCGAATCTAAGTATGTATTCGATTTTTCTTTAATTTTCAATTTTTCGAGTTTTTTTAATTTCCATTTTATAATCTTTCCCTTTTTATTTTTGATTTTTTAAATTTTCAATACATATTACAATTTTGCAATTTGTACACTTTTTTTTTTTCGAAAAATTGAAAAATCAAACAATAGAAACGTCCAATAGTCTAGAAAATTAGAAAACTGAAAAATTTTAAAATGAAAACTCGAAAAAATGCATATCGTACAGTCGAAGAAATAAAAAAAAAAGAAAAATTGAAAAATTGCGAATTGAAAAATCTAGAAACTTAAAAAAAATGAATAATAGAAAATTGGCAAATCCAAAAATTGAATAAACGAAAAAGTCAAAAAACAAAAATTATAAAATCGAATACTTCAAAAAATTATAAAAATAAAAAACCGAAACCAAAAATTGCAAATCGAAAAATTGAAGAAATGAAAAATCTAAAAATGGAAACGTCCAAAAGTTGGAAAATCGGAAAAGTGAAAAATTTTAAAATGAAAACTCGAAGAGATGCATTTCATAAAATCGAAGAAACAAAAAAAAGAAAAATTGAAAAATTGAAGAACCGAAAAAGTGAAAAAACAAAAAGATTTAAAATCGAATAATGGAAGAAATAAAAAAATAAAAAACCGAAATGGAAAATTGCAAATCGAAAAATAAAAAAAAATGAAAAATGGAAAATTAAAAAATGGAAATTTAAAAATTGAAAACTCGTGAAATTGCTAATCGAAAGATGGCAAAATCTAAAAATAGAAACGTCCAAAAGTTAGAAAATCGGAAAATTAAAAATTTAAAAACAAAAACTCGAAGAGATGCATTTCGTAAAATCGTAAAAACAAAAAAAAGTAACAATTAAAAAATGCAAAGCGAAAAATTGAAACAAATTTAACCAAAAAAAAAAAAATGTAAAATCGGAATATTGAAAAATCAAAAAATTTTGAAGATAAAGAAAACAAAAAACCGAAACCAATAATTGCAAATCGAAAAATTAAAAAATCTAAGAATTGAAGACAAAAAATAAAATCTAGTAATTGAAAAAATAAAAAAATAAATCGATATGAAAAATTGCAAATCGAAAAATTGAAAAATCAAAAAGTTATACTCCAGAAATCCAGATCGAAAAATTACAAAATCTAAAAACTGAAAAATTCAAAAGTTGCAAAATTTAAAAATTCAAAATTTAAAATTTGAAAATCTGAAAAGTTTAAACTTGAACACTCGAAAAATTGCAAATCGAAAAACTAAAGAAATGAAAAATTTAAAAATTTAAAATTGGAAAATTAAACAATGGCAAAATCTAAAAATGGAAACGTCCAAAAGTTGGAAAATCGAAAAACTGAAAAAATTAAAACTAAAAACTCCCAGAGATGCACATTGAAGAACAAAAAAAATTAAAAATTGAAAAATTGCATAAATTGAATTTAAAAAAAATTATAAGGTCCAAAAAATTTTAAAGAAAACAAAAAACCGAAACGAAAAATTAAAAAATCTAAAAATTAAAACAAAAATAATTAAATTTTAGTACATAATTGAAAAAATAAAAAAATTAATTGAAATGAAAAATTGCAAGTCGAAAAACTGAAAAATTAAAAATTGATACTCGAGAAACCCATATCGTGAAATTATGAAATCCAATAACTAAAAAATTCAAAAGTTGGAAAATTTAAATATGTATTCAAAATTTGAAAAATTGAAAATCTGAAAAGTTTAAACTTGAAAACTCGAAAAATTGCAAATCGAAAAATTAAAGAAATGAAAAATTAAAAAATCTAAAATTTCAAGAAAAACAAACTTCGTAAATCGAAAAATTGAAGAATCCAAGAAGTGACGAACCATAAAAATTTTAAATCGAATAACTGAAAAAATAAAAAAATAAAAAACCGAAACGAAAAATTGCAAATGGAAAAATTGCAAGTCAAAAAATGGCAAACTCGAAAAATGGAAACGTCCAAAAGCTGGAGAAACCCAAATCTAAAAATTGAAAAATTCAGAATTTTAACTATTGAAAATCTGAAAAATTTAAACTTGAAAACTCGAAAATCGAAGAATTGAAGAAACAAAAAACGATGAATAATTGAAAAATTGAAAACTTCATGTCACGCAGCTTTTTGACGTGAATTTTTCAATTTTGCAATTTTTCATTTTTTTTTTTCGCGTCAAAAAAGCTGCGGGAGTATTATTTACGCCACTGCTTTTTAGTTTATACCTTAGAAATATCAGAAAACAAAAATCGCATTTTTTAAATAATTTTTCTGGATTTATTGGGCTGCACTTTATAGATGAGGGAAATTCTGTCGAAATAGCCTTCGACAAATTGTATTTCTTATACATAAAGTAAAAAAAATGCTTCTTCCAGACGAAAACATCGGCTCTTTCATCCAACGAGACTTGTACTTCGCCTTCCAAAGTTTCTTCACCGACTACTTGACCTCCTGCGACATCGACAGCAAAATCGGCTCCATACCCCTACGATGGGAAAAGCCGATCTACGGTTACGACAGCCCCGACTTTACCGACTTCGCAGCACCAGGTGTCATTCTCACGTAAGTCCAACCTCCGCACCACCTCAAAATCACCAACCCTCTTCTTCCAGGATAATATTCTTCCTTGCCGTGGCTTTAACCTCCGGAGCCATGCTCCTAGAGCGAAACGAAGGCATCCTGGAACGCTCCCTCGTAAACGGAATCAGTGGCATCGAGCTGCTATTCTCGCACGTTTTGACCCAGTTCGCGGTCATGTTGGGACAAGCCGCCATGGTCTTGGTTTGCACTTTTTCGATTTTCGGGATCACCCAGAACGGGAGCTTGTTTTGGGTTTCGATTCTGATTATTTTGACCGGGCTTTGTGGGATGTGCTTTGGGTTTGTGGTGGCGTGCAGTTGTGAGAATGAAAGGTCGGCGACGTATATGGCTATGGGTAGTTTCTTGCCCCTTGTTATGTTGTGTGGGATTGTTTGGCCCATTGAAGGAATGCATAAAGTTCTTAAAATTATTACGTTTATCTTGCCTTTGACGAAGTCGACGGAGAGTATGAGGTGTATGATGGCGAGGGGGTGGACGATTGATTCTCCGGCGGTGTATGAAGGGTTCGTTTCCACACTGGTGTGGATTGTTATATTTTTAACGATTAGTATACTTTTGCTCAAGTTTAAGAAAGGGTGAGTTTTGTGATGTTAGTCTAAGGTGTAGTTTATAGGTTTCTATACTTAATTTAATTGTTTTTATTTAATTAAAATTATGAAATGGAATGGAAATTGCTTATTATTTCCCTTGCTTGGAGTCTGTACAAGGAGAGTACATGTGTAAGTGTTTATTATTCGTGTCGCGAAAATGAATATTAATGAAAATTTGTCCAGACATGAAAAAAATGCAGAGAATGTTGTTCAATAAAATAACGGGATCAGTTTACACTCGTATAAATGCTAATTGCAGATCATCGCTAGCGAAAAAAAATTGCTACATATGTAGTAGAATATCACAAAGTCTAATTTATTGGTTAGGTACATATTTCAGCTTGCCGCCAGTTCAGGGTATCTTAATTCTTCCTACTGCATATTATGCACATACATTTGTACTTATTCTGGAAATATGCTTTGCGTCTTTATTAAATGAAATATTATCCGTTCACGATCTTTATATAGTAGGGTTGGCCATGAAAATCTAGTGAGTTTGTTGGTATTCGATGCAGAAAAATAAAAATTCCCCGAACTTTTTTCATTAGGTTATGTTTTATTAAATTAAAGTTTAAAAAATATGCCAGAAATATAAACATTGTTGCCGATACTTTCAGTTTTCAGTAGCAGTGACCAAGTTAACGGTATCCATTTGTCAGAAAGCATAAAACTTTACGCTATTTAAAACAGTTATTCGGCTTTTTGGAAGTGTTTATTTCATATGTAAGGAACAAACACTAAAATTTTACTTAAACATTGTTTTTATATGAATAGGAGTTCTACATACGACGATTGTCGCATGCCACATTTAGCATCTCATCTTTAATTCTCAATCATCAGTTCGTTCTGCTCGCCCACTCTTCTTAGAAATGGAAATTTCGACCTTTGTGAACAGCCTATTTCCATATCTTCCAACTTCTTTTTTCACTTTTCTAAGATTACTAAAAGGATTGGTAAAAGACGACAACCTTGCTCTAGTGCTTTGATGGGTTTATCTCTTCTGAAACATTTTTCCGCCTTAAATTGAATGATTTATCTATATAGCTATGACTAATGCTTACGTAAGTGCTCTTTACTTGCTTTTACTATGTACTTTCAAACGCTTATTAATAAGAACGTTACATACGCCTTCTCCAGGTCCACGAAGAGTTACAAAAAAAATGAAAATGCTTAAAATTTGGTTCAAAGTAACAATGTGGATGATCTAACTAAAATTATACTTATTTTGTTGTACGTCAGGTAGTTTTTCAGATACTACCTTGGTAAATTTAGAACGAAAGATGCGTAAAAATATCACCCCCCGACAAGCTACAATTCACTCCGTTTCTATTATTTCGCTATGAAAATCTGTATCATCACAGTCATTTTCAAATTCAGATTCTGAATCAAATTCACCTAGGGAAATAATGAAAGGAGGTATAGATTCGTACGAAATATTTCCCATATTTTTTCCCAATCTGCCAAAATAAGTTTTTCACAATGTTTACAAAAATTTTGCTACATGCTTGGAGTACACATTTAGAAAGCGCCTCAAGCCATAAATTCTCCACCCTATTTTTTAATGAAGATTGAGAATTTATATGCTTGTTGTAATAGTTCTTACAAAATCCCCACGCCATTTCAATTGGATTATATTGACAATGGTACGGAGGTAATCTAAGACCTTCATGGCCACTTTCTCTTAATGTCTCGTCTATCAAATATCTTTTTTTTTTTCTATTGTTTCTGAAGGGTTTAATTAAATTCCACAACTGTTTCTTCGAAATTTTTTTGTCAAATTCAACACTATGTTTAAAGAGCATAGCATTTCACATTTTTTACTAGAAAAAGTGGGTGGTTTATCCGACTGAACCGACTGATAATTGTCTAAAACCACCACACATTTTTGGCCAACGTTGCTAAAGCAGGAATGAGCTGATTAACCACCCAATTTTGAAAAATTGTCCCGTCCATCGTTTTATGATAGTCACTATCGTTATTTTTTGAATTTAAAAAATTGTTACAACCACCCAAAAACCCCGTTGGACAACCCCCGTGAAGAATAGTAAACCTTGATCCTTCACTTTTAATTTTGGTGGGATTGCGTTTTTAGATCAGTATCGTGCACCTAGCGATGAATGGACGAACCATTTTGATAGATCCATGTTTCATCCAAATACACGAAAGTCAAATTTTCACAAGAATTTTGAAACTGTAAATATGTATGTTCTCAAAAAAGTAATTTTAGCTGCAACGACATGGTTTTGTTCACATAGAATTTTGCGACCATTTACTTCCCTTGTTTATAACCCATTGACTTAAGAATTTTGTATAATGTGGTTCGCCCCCCTTTAAATTCCAACTGTTCCCTAGAATATCCCAATAGAGTATCTACAGTGAAATAGTGGTTTTTTTCATTAAGTTGCCAAATTTGTCGTTGCAGGTCTTTCCGAAACATATAATTTGTAAATAAATCCGTTGGTTTTCGCTTGTCAGATAGTGATGTTTTTAAATTTTGGTCACCTGTTGATAAAATTTTCGCCACAGTTGATGTTCCCACCTATGAGAAAAAAAATTAAAAAATATTTTGCAGCGTATTTTTACATTACAGAAAATATGTTCGAGACCTCATAGTTACTTCTTCGAAAGAAAGATCGGGCCTGTCTTTTCGAAACTGCAAAAAACATCTTTTTATTGTTGTGTCTAATAATTCTGATCTAATAAATGAAGCAGAAAAGTGGCAATCCAGCTCAAAGCAAACGCCAATCAGACTACTGACAGACAAAAAACTAAATCATCAAATCAGTTTATCCAACTTAAAGAAAAAATATCAAAGCTTACTTTACTATATAAAGATCGTGAATGGATAATATGTGCTTACAAACATAAATCGTTCCTACACATAATAAAATGTTTGTATAAAATGTTTGTATAAATTGTTTGTACAAACAGATTTGTTCAATTAATTTAAAATAATTTTGTACATGTTTGATCGTTATGTTATAGCTCAACATGATTTCAGACTACATGTTACAACAAATCATCATATATGTATGGACAAATGTGTTTCTGCATACGAAAAATTACGTCTAGTTTAGGGATATGTATGTGCAAACTTATCACACAAACATTGTTTGAAGAATCTGCAGCTGTTGATTTTCAATGCGTTTTTTCTGGGATGAGGACCGAAGTCCTCACCAAAGTGAGGACGCAGGTAACCACTGTTCACTGCAGAAATATCGAAAGACTCGGCGAACGATCATCGGCAGTTGTAATATGGAAGCTCTTTTATATACGAAAGAATGAGTGATTTACAGAATTATTCAAAATAATTTATTGAATAATTTATCGAAGAGTATAGATCTTTGTCACGTCTTTGCAAAATTAAAAGCAAAGAATATACAAATCGCAATTTAAGAAATCAGGTATATGAAATATTAATTAATAAATTAAAAAGAATAGAGCCAGACGCAAACAAAAACATGGTCATTAAACATTAAACATGGTGGAACTTGCTTTATTTTGCAGAACTATTGTCTTTTGTTGTGCCATTTCTTGCACCACATGCGTTTTATCTGATTTTCTTCTTGCAATAAAACAAGAATCATAACAGCAGCGTTTTTTTCTCTTGACATGACGGTAAACCGGAACACACAGTATCTTTTATTATATTAATTATAATGATCTAAATTATTAATAATATAGTCTAAGGTCGACACAAATCAAACCAACTAGTGTTACAGAAATCTGGGTACGCACAATATCGGTACAACTTGCTTTAAAACCACACCAGCAAACATGATTGTCCAAAGACTTGATACACGTTCCTTTGCAGTGATCAATAGTAGCATTTAGGTATACAATATGTATCTCAAACTTCTAACATTTAGTCCTCAACAAGTTACGTCCCTACATTAAACAAATTATCCTCAAGAAGTTTGGATGATTTTTATTGAGCAATCATATTTAGAACAAAGGTGGTACGTATAGGTGTACATACAAATCTGACAAAGTTGCATCTGCGTCTAGGGGCCGCTTTAGACAAAGTATTCGTAAAAAAATATATGTCGTAAAAAATGTACGTATGCTGGTCCCGAGTGCGATTGTGGTTTAAATATTTTAGATAATGTCTTTGACATGGATATAGAAACATTTGTTACAGCCAAAGAGCTTTTTTTAGAAAATTATCTTTGAATTTAGACCGAATTTAAATAGACACTAGGCAACAGGCACTCTCTACCATTTGGACCAAAGAAAAAGAAATTAGGGTTACGCCTTCAAATTTTGGACGTATTTACAAACTTAAGCTAAAACTGTGGAGTCTCTGTTGTCAGTACATTTAGAGGTAATAGTCATATTGTACGACGAAAGATATTTGCAAATGACTCCAATTATGAGAATTGCAGCTGTAAAATTTCCGACTACTTCTGAAACTGTACCCAGCATAAAACTGTCAATCAAGATTACTCGCCACCCTTACCTTTCCAGGACCGCATTTGTTTAAATACATGAGCAAGTAGATTGTTAAACGGACCGCTTTCAAGGAATTTAATCTTAAAATTTAAGGACACATGAAAGGGTTCGTAATGGTTTTATTGCAGGTTGTGGTCCAAAGTACTAAAGACCCGTCATAAAGTAATTGACAGCGTTTGCAATTATCATTCGTCGTACTTTACATACTCTGGACAACAAAGTGAGGAAAAAGATGTCAAGTGTTTTGAAATAAAAAAATATATAAAAACTGAACGGTGTGGGTTGTTTATTTCAACACAATTTCCTTACTTGCTAGTACAGACAGGGTTCTAGAGAATAATAGTGCATTAGTCGAAATTAAATGTCCTTCAAAATCGCAAAATTTGTCTCCCGAAGAAGCGACAGGTAGAGAATTGAAACTAAAAAAAAATCATGATTACTACTTTCAAGTCCAGGGACAAAATGCTTGTTACGGGTATTTCACAAGTTTATTTTGTTGTGTGGACACCCAAAGAAATAAATATAGAAACATTTATAAAGACGAGGAAATGTGTAAAAAAAAACAAAAATAGCAAAATAGAAGAAAGAGGAGCCTCCCTTTGCAAGAGATTTTTTTTTAAATA